CTCGGCATCTGACATTGATACACCCCTGGAAGCATACGACGTAAATGCCGGCTGTCCCGTTCCGTGTAAGACGAACGCGGTCGCTCCGTGTGAGATTCCGATCGGCGTTCTCTGATGATCACATTCAAGAGAACGTCCTTCCACATGGTTGCTGTAAATATCCAATGCTCCTCGGCCTACTGATAGGTGGTTCATTTGATCTCCTTTCGGACATGCCCTCGTCACTTTTCGCCGATGACAGCGCAATTTGGTGCTCAGATGCAGAATCTAATTATTCATCACCACCCCATCAAGGCGCACTTCATAGGTTACAACAATGGTCAATAATTTTTGGTCTCTACTTTTTCGCTAAGAATCTGGTCGTACAATTTTCAGTAAAAGGCGACGAGATACACCGTCCTATTGTTGCCAACTCGACGGTCACGATATAAATTTGTTTCACTGTTCAAAGTCCTAGGCGTCATTCTTGACCAAAGATTGTCCATGTCCAGTCACGTCGAGCATGCCCGCAACAAGCGCATGAAACGCTTAAATTTGCTAAGATGCATTTCATGGTCAAGATACTGAACTCCACCGTTATCCATTCTGAAATACCTGAAATGATAATCGCTGGTCGAAAGGGGTTTAATCCAAATAATCAAATCGTGTTTGAACCCTGCGCTGCCTGCATGACGCTGATAAAGCCAATTGCAGTTCGTTATGCTTTGAAATTGTGCTCACGAACGTCACACATTAACGACTTGCTGATGATATTTGGTTTAGGTCTTGAAACGCCGCATGGTCAGTGGGGTGGCAGTTTTTGAATAGCTTTACTGTGGCGTCATGCATGCCTGGGTGACCTTAAAATAGTTGGCACGAAGCAGCCTGCCATCTTTCGTGGGCGTGCAGCTCAGAAACTAGGGGCTTAAGAAGAAGGTGTAGTGCTGTAAACTGCAACAACAGAGCTTCATGGGTGGTCATTTCAGTCCAAATCTGATTCAAATGGGGAACACTCCGTCAAAGAATTATTGTAAAGATATCGCTACACATTCGCTGTGAGGGTTGTAAAACCACAATACGTAACGGTCGATTAATGCGTTGCATGCTGGAATATTGAAGGCTATCCCCAGCCACTGTTTTCTTTATTAATAGGGTGTGCTTGACATTTTTCGGAGAAGAGAGAGAGAAGTAGGTGATTCAGGGTCAGTCTGGTGGCTCCGATATTCATAAATGTGCAGGGGGGGCAGGAACATTATGTCAAAGTTATTGCAAGTTTAGGAATATGCAGAGCATAAAACTTCGGTTGTTTTAAGCCCTTTTCGTTCCGTGTGGCTGACGAGGCGTTATTAAATGAGCGTTCAAAAAGAGCCTCCACATTTGTGTGGGGTTTTGAACTGAAATAGCCATCTTCAAGATACTCGATGTAGTTTACAGCCATACCCTTCTTCAAGACCTAAAACCCTAGAGTTTCAAAGCTACGCGCCCGCGAAGTTGTGCAGGCAGTTTTTATGCAGACTAATTCAATGACACCCAGGCATGCGTGACGCCCTCATTGATCATGCGGCGTTCAACGCCAAGACAAGTATAATTGTCGAGTCATTCGTGCCTGGCGTACGTGAGCACAGTTTCCAGATACAACGGACTTCACTGGCTTCATTGTTACACACTCATTGCAAGTTTTGAACACGGTTGGTTATTTTGGTTAGCTGGGTTACAGCCCCTTCGATCCTAGCTGATCATTTCAGAGAGATGAGATGAAGGATTATGGATAACGGTGGGACAGGACTACGCGCATCTGGGGCCCGACCACCGAGACTTGGCCGCACCGGGACCGCATCGACAGGTATGTACCGGGCGCCCGGGCGGCGACCCCCCTCCAGGGGCTCTCGACCCACTGGTGGCTGGGAACATGCACCCTGTGCCGGACAAGCAGGGCGTTCGTGAACACGCAGGATAAGGCAAGAAAGATGATAATATGGTCAGATTGTAGAACACAACCATGTTTTGCGTCACTCAACTCAGGGGTTTGGGTAGTGGTACTAGACGTGACGGAGGTAAGACTGTAATCGAAACGATGTGAAAAAAGACACTATAACCTAGGTATATGAATGCAAGGCGATGCGTCTAAAACTCAAGAGCAAATATGCAAGAAACACTACGAGAAAGGGTCCAATCACGAGCACATTAAAGTATTGGGTTCAACAAACACCTCCAGCACCGCCACGGCCACCTATCGGGAGATCAAAGTACTACAACTAAGTCAGCCTCGCTATAATGACAATTTTGGCACAGCTAGTCTGATAGCAGACATGACGTTATAGAAATGCTTCATGACGCAATGAAACAATGACGTATTGAAGAGCATGTTTGCCATATAGTGGGGCTTGTTGTCTAGAACAGTCTTTTGTACTCTAAAGCATATAATAGTGAGCAAATCATCATGCCTGGTGCTTGCTTTAATATCTTCTAATGAAAAACATTCCCTTTTACATTGGCTCGCCCACTAGAAACAAGGCCCGTAAAGTTATTTCACCATTTTCAAATGTTCCATTCCACATTGTTGACTATAACATTGATCTAGTGTGTCATTTGGCAGAAAGAAAATTAGGGAGAGTGGGGAGGATAGCTAAAATGGGTTATAATTAAAATTAACAACTATTTTAGTATCAAAAACACATTAACTGCACCGAAATGAGGCCAAACGAGTCCGATAGACAGCAGTGCATTGCTGGTATGTATATGAATGAGATACGAGCTCATTTTATCTCTCTTGAATCTATCCGACATCAGTTTTGGTATTTCCATCTCTGTTTGACGTGGACCAACGGAAAAGAACTGTCAAGGTCCTATGAAGGAAACATATATACAAGTAGACCCGCACGCTACACCATTACCGCATTTCACAACTGGTTGTAAATACATTTTATGTTTTACGTTGCTACATACCGATGTGTGTCCGGTGCTCACTTATCAAAAAGTGCTAATATTTTGCCGGTGGGTTCGAACTTCTGCAAAAGCTACTGCGGCTGACCGTTGTCACAGACCATATACCTGCGAAAATTTATATTGTTGACACACCCCTCCCTCTCTCAGAAACCTAAAGCACGCCGCCTAAACGCACGATATGATAGTCGTCGTTGGGTTCCCAATCATCGATTGCCTGCTTAGCCACCAGCTAGCATGAGCGTGAAGACGCTGGAATATCAGCGAAGGGACTCACCTACCAGACACCGCAATGCCGTGTCCCAGTTTACGAACTGTGCATCGGCGCAGCATCCTCAACAGATTACGCCACTGGCAACCGAACAGTAGCATATAGGTAGCTGTATCGAAGCCGCGGCTGCCTTCTCATCGTCGCCGACTTCATCCGAAACCGAACCGAACACGACCGTCTCGGGTCTCGTATGCGCCAAGAGGCGACACTTGACGGCCCATGCTGCTCCGACGACGGCCCTCGTCAGCCGTCCTATGGCGCATCAGATCCTGGCACAACCTCAGATATTCCCTAGGGGGCGTCGGCGGACGGCGTATCCGCGTGACTGCGAAGCACCGATGCGAAGCACCGATGAAGCGTGACTGCGAAGCACTGACACACCCCGAGCAATGACCTGAAGCCGTACCAGCGTCTGGTGTGCTACCGGATGGCTGGCAAGCCCGTGATTGGAGTTATAGACTTGGCCATAATGTGCCTCTGCTTGCTCTATTTGAGCCCGGGGCGATTGTATTCTGTCCGGTTTCGGATGACGCCAGCGATAATGGAAAACGCAGCCATGGCTTTGACGTTGTCATCCATGCCGGTGTCGGATGATTCTGAAGATGATGTGTACCATTCATCCTATCGATGAGTCGTTTTACCTGTATTCCAATTTAAGCGCCGAATGTTAACTCGGTGTGCCGGTGGCTGGGCAAGGCAATGGGTGAGTGGGCGGCAAACGGAAAAAGCATTCCTTTGGGAAAACTGAATTCGTTACTCAAGCGCCGCCTTTTCTATCAACCCCAATAGGCACCCTGGCTCCGCCTGTTGTCCATGCCTGCTCTACTAATCGCGAACTATACCGCGGTGCTCCACACACAGACACACACAATTAAAACCTGCTTTGAAAAGTTTTATGTCACCTCGTTAAGTATACCTGCTTTGTGCTTTTGTGTTAACGTACACCCATGATGTGTACATGTTCAAGAACACATCCGTATCCCCTAGCACATCAATATTCTAATAATTATGTATGGAACCTGCCTGGCTGAGTCAAAATCGGTTGGCAAACGTAACGGATGTGCCGTATCAAAGGTGCCTCAAATTTTTGTTGCCCCCTGTTTTGCCGATTCATAGAACTCTTGAGCTTTATTTTTCTAAACGTAGATTACGTCAAAAGGAAATCAAACACCGTTTAGTTTTCACAATCGGCCAAGTAGTGATCGAAATCTCAGAGGGGCGGGGGCATCAGGCCCCTGCCGTAAGTCCCTAGGGTTACCGCGATGCCCAACCGGGATTGTGTTAAATTTGGTGTTTGGGCGACAGGCAATTTTAACCAATGAAAGATTTTAAGAACGAACAAAACTTATCAAGGTTTTCATCCGCTTTAGAGCAGTACCGTACCGCGGAATACGGGTAGCCGACTAGCAGACCTTTTTCCATCAGGACATCGCATATCCATGATCATCGAACACACCTCAGTACAAACAAAACGCGAAAAAAAAAATGAATGGCGTACGTCATACTAGTAAGATAACAATGTTGCTTAAGCCCAGGGAGTACCCGTTCGGCCATGACAGCGATGAAAGAAGACACGATGGGGCGTGATCGGGCCATTAAATAGATCCGATCGTTTTTTTTTCACGGAGGACAGCATCGATCGATAAGACTCTGCCAAGGCAAGGACGACAACGCCCCGAAATCCCACCACAAACGGCCAGCGCTCACACCCCGCCCGTGTCACCGCTCAATACAAAACCTCACCCACCAGTGGAATGGCTAAGCGTTCTCACAGCTTGCCAATGCTGAAGCGGGCGGCTCTCCTCACCTCCGCTCTCGGGAGCCGTTGTACTTGTGCATGTTGCGCCTCAGCTCCTCCAGCAGGGTCTGGCTGAGTTCTTTGACCTTCTTGTGGTAGCGGTTCTGGGCCTCGGCGGCGCTGCGAGCCTCCCGGCTCACGGTCGTCCCGGTGTGGAATCAGGGACTGCCACGCTGTCGCGACAGTCGAGAACGCCGTCACCGCCGGCGCACGGTCCGCCCCCGAGGCCGGAGCTGGACAGGCCGGGTGGCGACAGCGGCGGCCACCCGGGCGCCAGTGCCGTTGCTCTCAAGGCGGTTGCTGGGCGCTCATTTAAAACACCGGCCTGGATTCGTCGTTCGTGACGCAAATCGGTGTGTAATGCTCTCTTCCTGTCTGACGACTCTCCTGCTATTTCCACACTAAGAATGATAAGGCCTTGCGGACAAACACTTAGTTGCCATGAAGGAGATGTTACGATTGGTCATAAGTATTACCTTTTAATTTTCCCTAACATCGCTCTATGTGGACGTATACATTCAACATTTATGAGACCGTGTAACGGAATAACCTGCACATGCGTATTTGCTGTTTGATTCTTGGTGTGTTGGCATGAAGTTTGGCGCATTTTAAGGCGACACGGACGGTTACGATGATTATTTTTAATGTCATCCCCACCGTCCGCCATCGGCTGCTGTCAGTTGCTTACTGCCGACTGCGATGCCAAAGATTGGCCGTGCAGTGTTCCTAAAAGAGCCTCTGTTGAGGCACCAGAAACGCTTGGACATGTTTGGAGGATGACAACACGCGCCCAGGCCCAGGGGCTCCTGATAATTTAGGTGTGATTTCATAGCATGCCAGGGAGATATTAGCGTGAAAACCTTGCGGAGAGCGTCGCACCAGCCTCCCTCAGCCCCGGCCAGGATTAAATTAGGTGCTGAGGCATATCAGCGCAGCCCTCGGTCCCAGCGCCGGCGGCACCGGCAAAGTTCTGGCGGTCCCAGGGACAACGGAAAGCGTAAGGAAACGCAGGGACAACAAAAAAGCAGGCGACATAAGGCGGGCTAAAACTGACAGCACATTTGAGCTCGCACGGATTCCGGATGGGGCAGGTAGTGAATTTAGTCCTAGATCAACGAATTATGCAAAGTCATTGGCATCCAACTCAACAATGAACTCGTGGGACATCCCATATATTCTGTCATCATACTCATACCCTCAGTTGGGGTTAATGAGCCCAGTCAGATTTCTACGAATTCTCTAATGTCCTTTACCATTTGTTGTCGTGCGTTTGTTATAATTAGCCTGAGCGTGGGTTTAAGTGCGCTCGACTCGATGATACCCAATGTTTGCACGGTTGGCAAAATGTTTGGTCCTCCGGTATTTACATTTGATCTGTCTTCTTCCCCGAGCATCATCCAAAAAAGGAGGTACCCAATGCATTGTGAAGCGTTAAGTTTACTTCTATCAATAACCTGGCAGAAAAACGGCCAAGTCTAACAAACAAAACGTGAACGTGCGGCGTATTCTCAGGTCTCCCAGCCACGCCGAAATAACATCCAGCTTACTTGCTCGACATAACGACATCTGGTAAAAGGTGCGCCACTATTACGCCGGGCATAAACCCAGGTCATTGTTGAATATTCCGCACGGGACCCCTGATTTTGGGGTGGGAAAAATGCAACAACGACCTCTGTCCTGAAAATCGTTTTACTGACAGTAGTTTTACTGGTATGCTATTATGTATTTCCTAACCATCTAACCCCGGCCTGGTGCTCACGCCACGCAGCGATCCATCAGAACAGCTCATCATTCAAGTTCACTGTACCCAAGGATATCACCACCAATCTACACGTCCCCGAATCCGGTCCCACCCTCACCTGAGTGCTAGATCCTCTAGTGTGTGCCGCTTCACCAGCGGGGTGCGCATCCGGATGTCCAGCACCCAGGTACATCTTGCCACAGCTGAAGACGTCGTTTTCCGCCCTGGCTGGCAGCTCAGGCATCAGGTGGATATTGAGGTTGGAGGCCAGTGACATCGGCAGGCCGGCGGAGTGCTGTGAACAGCAGGCGCTTCAGCATAGGCATCCGCAACTTAAGTCACTCCGCGGGCGAGACGGAGCAGAGGGTAGGGGAGTGCTTGTTTTCGGTGGACTGGGCTTGTTGATAATTTTGCGTTCGGGGAAGTCCGGACTTAAAGTGGCGAGCGACAGAAGAGTTTGCTATCGTCAGCTATGTTGGTCGTTTGTTTATTTATCGAAGCGTGCGAATGCAATACCACTGATTGTAACAGATTTATGACGTCAGTTGTTGTGATGGGACCAGCGGCAAGCGAACACAGTAAGCAGGTTTTAAGCTCAGCCATGGCCAAAAGTTCGAGGCACTGCCGATAGCAACGTGAAGTTCCTGCCGTTATCGATTCGCCACCAAAACGATCACGGAAATGCGTACAATTCAAACGTAGGTATATGGTGGAGAGCACCTTTTCCTTGTCTTTCGCCTTGTCACCGTCCTTGCCGCTCCTCCCTGCTCTTCTTTGGCTTCTCCTCTTTGATCTCCCTCTTCTCAGCCCTGTCGACCTCGCTCTTCTTGCCGTTGACGATGGAGGCCCGTGTCCTCCATGGCACTGCCAGCGGTCAGCTGGAGGAACAGGCTCCGCCGCCCGCCCGTCTGCTCCTCGTAACGGGCTGGGTCCAGGGACTGGATCCGGTAGGCACCGCGCAGCCGGCCCACTGGCGGAGAACGGCCGGACGCATCGCTGGTGGCGCCGCTCCATGTTGGCATCCACAAACTGTGGTTTTAAAGAACGCCGGAGGGCGGTGCGCCCAACATAATTTAAGTTTGCAATTCCCGTAACTGCGCGAAATGATTGTCGTTGGCACAAGCATTGCTGATAGCTGTAAATAGTATCAATCGCACAAATTTTGGGAAAGACTGGACTGACTGGTGTGGGGTATGTTCCAGGAATATGACATTATGTATTGGAGAAGTACTGCGTCACTGCTACATATACCTCCTGGTATACAGCAAGTAGCTCAGATTGACCATGGCCATGCCAAACTGCACACTGATGAAATCATCCATGGTCTTCCTCCGCGCCTTGGCGCCAGCCTGAGCCTGACGTGACTTCTTGACAAGCAGCTCCACAGGTACCATCTTATATCTGGGTGTAGAAAGAACGTGAGTAACCGACAGTATTGGAAGTGTTTCTCTGAATGGCAATATTTTCGTTCAGTTACGAAACGGCGGCAAACTTTTGAAGTGTGTGAAAGACGTACATACGTATGTTTCGGTGATACGCTAGTTTAAGTGATGTGCTTACTAATCACCCACCTGGAAGCGTATTCCTCAAAAGTGGCCAACATTTTCCTCGTCAAGATAAATCTCTTCTCCGTATTTATGGTGACCCGGGGTCGGTCGTTGGCCATTAGCTCGAATTGACGTCATCACCACGAAAATCTCCAGAGCTTTCTGGCTCGCCCTCTGTTGGTCTAAAATAATCATTCAGATTAATTTCACCATAATGCTACAATTGTGAACATGTAATCTTAGTGTACTATATCTTCTCTGGCATGCTTACTATGTTCGGCCATGCCATTACAGAGTGCAGTTTATGCCCTTACATCACAGTTTGGCAATCATTTGTGGGGTTTGTGCATCTCACATTCATTAAAAACAGCAAAGAACTATGATTATATCCAGCGAAAGTTTTTAATAAATGTTCCGTTAGATGGTCCAAATGATTGAGTGGAAGCAACTCAGCACTCTCCTCTCTGCTCCCTTAATAGCGTTTGGACATTGATGGAGCTTTCATCTCGATGATGCATTTGACGGCCATCACTTATATCGGCAGCAGCTGTATATGATGTTTCACTCGGTATTAGCTTTTCGAATGACAAACCTTTCGTCTCATCTTCGATCACGATGGAGCAATATCTGAAGAGTGAAGGTGGAGGAATGGGGGTCGCAAATGGGGCATTATTTCATGCACAACCAGACAGCATGGCAAATCCTGAGGATTGCGGTGAGCCAATTACGCGGTTGTAGCGACACTGTCCTTGCATGAGCGATCCTGCCCGTCGCGACTTAACGCGTCTGAGATGTTTACGTCCTCGCGGCTCTCGTAAAAAAATAACGAAGCTACAACAATGTCGCTCCGGCATGATGACGGCACTAGGCACTGATTAGAGGGGCAGGGGAAGGGTAGAAGGGCGCTAGACAGGTGACAAGTGGCTTGATTTTATCAGAATATCGTTGAGTGCGGGTGTAGTGACCTGTGTGCTGGGCGCCTGGTGTATTTGACTGATTTTAACGCACTGATGATGTTTTACAACCTGCAACGAATCCACACAAACGAATTTGTTCCTGAGACCCCTATTGGCCGCGCATGGTTTCACACGACTCGGTTACCAGCACCCAGACACTCTTTGTCGCTGGTGTTAAATTTTGCCAGAAAGGTGTTGGTAAGCTGCCTTTCTGCCCCTCCCCTGGCCTTGCAGCGATATCCCCGCGTGATCTTCTCGTAACACTACTTGACCGACCTCCTGCTTTTTGGCGAAGCTGGTCGCGCAGTAGTCCGTCCCGCGGCGCGGCTCTGGACAGCGTGGCGCCTGCACTCTGACCTGCGTGCCGGAATGAAGTCGTCGTCCGACTGGCCGCCGGTCCTGCCGTACCAGTAGTGGTCGCTCCCACTCGGCGCTGAACTCCTGGCAGAGCGACTTTTCGTAGCTCAACAGCTCATCCGTCCTGCCAGCGAGCCGCGCGAACACTGAGAGATGCTGACACGGGAAGAACGGCTTTCGGGCATGAGGTGATTCTTGCAGTCCGCGAGAGGGTTTTTTTTGGTTTTGTTTTTTTTGGTTTTGGTTGTCAGAGCACCCTGTTTCACGCTGACGATTTTTCCGAACTTATTGCATTTCATTAATGATGCACATCATTAGCACCAAACGGGACTAAACGGCACGGGACCTGTCTTTTACCCGTTTCTCTACTTTTAAGTTTCTTCTCTTTTCCATTCCTATCAATCGAAAATTGCCGCATTCGACGGCACGGGAGGTAGGGTTCATTACGACTCACCTTGCTGGTTCTACGCCCGACGTACTAAAGAGTAATGCAAAATACGAGACAGCAAGTCATCCGCAGTTTTGCCTGTGGCCATCTAACAGTCCCTTTTTTTAGAATATTTAGATTGCTTTGCCATCTAAATAAGACCACGCCTTTCGTCCTCTACTTAACTTTTGTACGCCTGCAGCGCAACTTCGATTGCAACTCAAAGCATGTCACCACTTATTTTGAAGGGATAGTGCAGTCAACCGGAGCAATTCTATGGCCTCTCTTATGATTTAACTTTGATGACACTATAGTTAGAATATCGTGTGAGTACGGTGAGCTGGCATTGACATCAGTGAGCTCTGGAAAGTCTTTTTTGCAATGCTTTTCGGCCGCCTCGAAGACTTTACGTGACGACTTAATGCATCCTCAGCACTGAATCATACACATGATGTTTGAAGCCTAATCTGGTGCAACGAAGTTCGACCTGATGCAGCCTTGAAGCCGGAAGAACCTAAGAAAAGTTACCGGCATTGACGAAGTTTACAACATGGTCATTTAGCATCGTCAGGAGGAGGTCATAAGGACAGGCACGCATTGCGCATGGGGACTAGGAATAGTTCGTGGAGCGCTGATTTTCCCACTTCAGCCGTGAACAGCTTTGAGAGCGAAGTCATGAGTCGGTGGTCATATAAGGTTGGGCAGCTGAACTTTTCCAATCAGATGCAAATATGCCAACAAAACAAGCTATAGTCGAGGTTTCCCGACAAGGCACCAGCTGTTCCGTAAAATATCATGAACCCTTAAGCTTATCGGAAATGGGCTCAAAACCCACAGGTGCCGGTCGACAGTGCCCGTGCACCGTTGCACAAACGCATGCTCAGATACTTGACGCATGCAATACTTTGGTTTCAAAGGAATACTTTCCAGCTATCAACATGAAACCGAAAATAAGCATCAGTGACACGTGTCCTATGTATTGCCAAGAGTCATGTTAACGCGATGAGCTCAATATGTTAAATAATACGCTTCATTCTGACTTCTTCAGTGAGAGATAGCAATGTGAAGTTTGGGCGCACCTAGCCCACACTCAGCCCACTATTTGATAGATTCAAATCAAGTATTCATCGCATTCTGGAACACAATTTTGGACAGTACGTAGCGGGCCCGGCGCAAGATGTAGAGACCTACATCATAGCTCTTTTCAGGAGCAAACTGGAACGGTGCAATCAAAACTGCCGGCTGTCGTCGGGGAGGCCAGGATATGCTGACCCGGTCGCGGCCTGCTGAGCGGGCGCCCGGCCGCCCTGGGGCCAGCCGCCCAGCGTCGCCGCCGAACCGCCGCCGAGTTGATTTATGTTAAGTAATTATGGAGCGTGGATGAAGTGACGGGAAACGGAGACGAATGATGCAAAATATTGAGCAGTTTGCATTCTATTGCCATGGGTCAAGCTGTGCCGAATAGAAGAGGGCTTAATTTTGCTTGCGGTGGAAGGGATTTCATGTTTCAGAATGATTGTGGTGTGTTGGTGACTTTGTTGGGTACAAATGATGGAGATAAATAAATCGCAGTGTTTCGTGTTTGCATCGTGGGTGGCCGCGGCCACCTAGCCACCGCTGGCCGAGCCCCCACTAGCGACCTTCGTCACGAGCCAGGATCGTCTCCATGAAGCAGTGTCCGGTGAATCTCACCAAAATCCCGCCAATCAGCCGTCGGCACGTTTGTGTGTCCACCATTGAGGGTCTGCCATGACGGTCTGACCACATGCGTGCCATGGCAGAGATGATCTGGCGACGGGCTGCAGCGGGGCACAGCCAGGATTCTCGTGAGGGGAGGGAGTGCCGAGCTCAGCGAAAGCTCGTTTTCCTATTTGTGTCAGGCACCTTCTATGGCGTTGAGCAAGCCCGGTGCGGTCTGAAAACAATCATTGGTATCGCGCGCTTCGTGTTCGCAGGCGGCAAGGCTACTGCGCTCATGCAGTTCGTTGGTCCGCTGCTGCGCATGCGTGACTACTTGCGTCGCGCAAGCATGAGTTACCATGACCTGCCTTGGCCGCTGTTTGGTGCGAAGGGCGTGCTATGTATGAAACGTACGATTATGTATGGGATATGCAGGCTTTTGGTCGCCCGGGGCATGAAAAACGCTTTCGACGCTTCGCTGTCGGCTCACGCCTCCGCTTTTTTGGGAAGCCTTGCAGCACCACCTGCTGTTACACTAATTTGGGACCGTATTATCTGAGCGGTCCGAGCCAGCATTCCTACACCAGCTTCTTTAACGACACCGCGCTGTCGTTACTATATCCGTGCCAGTTTTCCACCCGGAGTGGGGCGCCAGTGGAGGTCATGTGTTTTCGGTTTGGGGTTTTGAGCGGAGCGAGCTATTCATCTGTCTCCAACGGTGTGCTAATGCCTATTCCCCAGCAGGCCTCCATTCACTCTATCGCCGCATGCAAGCTGCAAGAGCTCTGAGGTGAAGCCCAGCCCGCATGCCCTGTTAATGTTTGTCACCGTTTTCACCATCTGGGTGGCGGCAGTGCCGCTTTGCTGGAGGTGGCCGCCACGGCTGAGGATGACGTGCTCGGTGGTCCGCACGCTGAAGCTCCCGTTTCCCGATTTTAAACGTCAACTTACTCTACCAGGGCGTTTTTATTACGATTTAATGACCTGCCTAGCCTTTATGCTCGAAACTTGCCAGCAGATAACTACCTGGCTCTCTGGCAGCGAGAACTTTCCATCTTTTCCCTGCTCATAGGCAACGTGAAATAACATTGCTCATAGATAACAAAAGCCCAATGCCATAACAAATACGAAGAAATCGTGTTTTTCTCGGACCTATGGCTTGCGATTTATTCCCATGATGCTCTGTTATGGCTGTTTCAGTGCGTCGCGTTTATTGAAATCTGGCGGCCATTTTTGGTGTGGCTGTGACCACGTGCGCTGCAGAGGGGCTGCGGCGACCTGCGGGCTGAGAGGCGTCTGGCTCGGTCTGTGACATGACGCCGATACCAGAACTCCCCGAAGCGTTGGGCGTCACAGAAGTTTGGGAAAAGTCTTACTCGTGTTGAGAATTTTTGAATGCTTTGTAACTGAGCGTTTTTGTATGCACAACCTCTGCTGGGTTGTTTGCGCCCCGTTTGCAAAAATGTTGATTTCGGATGATGATAGTGAGCGACATACTCTTCACGATAAAATTGTGAGTGCGTTTTGATTACTGGTGTTTCTAAAACAGGACGTACGTCTCCTCGTTTTAGGGTCAAAAGTTAACATTGCGTGTTTTTTAGGATCCAGATGCATCAAGGCGCCATCGTTAGTCCGTGTAAAAATAAACCTTTTGAAACTGCAGCCCTTCAAAATGACTGCCGCGGATGCCTCGTTAGCAGCTACATCTTCATCCATCCTCATATGTCAGAGAACGAATTCCGAATGATATGTGTTTCCGACGTTCGCTCACGACAGCCAACTGACTTTCCACGAGATTGACTAAAGTCGTGCCCTGAGAGCGCACGACTTGTTCGACCTGACCTGTTCGACGGCGACCCCGGCCTAATGATGGCTTGGTGAAAAACTAATGATGTCAAGCGTCAAACCGCTCGAACAGCATTCAAGCTTAGAGCTTCACTGCCAGTCGTTTGAGATGCCAGATGGTCTCATTTGGCATTGGAAAAAACTGCTCCCGGCTTATCCTTTATTAGGAGGCCTAACTCTTGCTCAGTGTGCACATGCCCCCAAAAAACAGAAGAGTCTGAAGGGTTGCCCAGATCAGCTCTGTCATCGGCATGCAACGCGCTTTCATATAGAAGATGAAATGCCGATCTTATTCGTGCATAGTTGAAGAAGTAATCGAGCCTTGGTTAAACAATGGCAGACTCCGGCTCAGCGCACCATTGCGAGCCGTTTGAGCCACGACATGACCTACGGCAGATGGACCGTGTTATCACTCAGGGGCGTATTCAGATGGGGGGGGGGGCAGGGGGAAGGGGACGAGTGCACGTGCCACGCGCATGCAGTGCGCTAAAATAGGATGTTCATCGGAACTTTTGGGCTGCTTCCACACCCATTGCGAAATCTTGCAAACGCCCTTCGGTTACCCGGGTGAACGGAAGAGAAACTTAGTGATCCCGATCAGTCTTTTGCCAAGAGCCGTGACTTCGCTACACAGGGGCGCAGCCAGATTTTTTAGGGGGAGCAGGGTGGGAGGGTGGAGCTCAGTGAGAAAGAATCACGCTGGGTTTGGGCTCTCCGTCATCGCAAATATATGGTAAAACAATGGAAAATGTTGGTAAAGGAGGAGGTCAGCAAACACCCTCTCACTTCACCTTTGGCAGTGTCCATGCCATTATATGCGCACATACACCAAACATTGAGGGAATTACGTATGGCACCCCAAATTAGCTCCACTGACCGCCTGCGCAAGTGCTGGCAGTAGTCTCAGGTCACCACTTAAAGTAGTTTGATTATATTTTCCGTTTCCATCGTCATTATCAAATATTGATACAAAAGCAAAAGCATGTGCCGTTGTGTTCAACCAATACAATGCAACGTGTGTATCGTTTTTTGCTAATTTTGAAGCAGTCGTCATATTGTTCACTGTGCACTGATTTGCGCAGAGCAGACCAATGCAATTATATCGAATCCAATGCACGCATGGTCTGAAGCTTATTTCGGGTTAAATTATGTAGTTGAATTGAATAGCCCT